CCAGAAAACCCACACCCGTACCTCCAGCCTTCAGCTTCTTCATCTAGCAAGGAGCAATGATCTCCCTGTCCCCTCTGTTCCTGAGTATCACACCTGTCAATGTACCTGAAACCTGCCCACAACTCTGAGGTCCCATCGCTATTGTTTTGAAGAGAAACAGACATCCACATGCTTCATACTCACTTGAGCATCCTACAGTATGCAAAGTAATTGGTGAGACAAAAGCTTCCAACCTCCCTAAGCAAGGGATGAAATCAGGCTCCCTATGGCTCTGGCTTTATGTTGGGAAAGTGGGGAGGGGAGGTGGGGATGGTTACAAATGGTGGTGGCACTACAGGATCCCAGCTGCCCTGGGGGCAACATCTTCTCCCCATCCTTTCTGCTCTAGTCTGAGTACTCAGTCTCTTTGCACCAAGTTGCTATTGAGTGGTCTATTGCCAAATGTGTGGGTCACATAGGGTGACCTGGAGGAAAGGCTTCTGACATTTGTGTTGTCTTTCTCTTAATTTTGAAAGCTAGGAAGAAAAGGAAAAGCTTGGAAAAAAAAATTAAACCAGTACAACCACAGAAGAAAAAATAGAATATCCAAGCAGCCCTTCAAAATAAAGTCTCTGAATTTCATGTGGATTTTCATGTCCATTATTTACTCTTATTAATCAGATTGAAGTATCTGATTTCCAAAACTCTTACCCACAACTAGGGCTCCTTCTTGGACACAACTTCGTAATTCTAAACTGCCCTTGGATGTGGGACAGGTGACCTAGAGCGCTCCTGTTTGCTGCGCTCCATTTTCACATTCGATTGTGTGGACCTAAGCACTGAGCCAGCCAATCAGCTTGATTTCTAACCTGAAACCACCCCACCTGTATCTGTTACTGACATTTATACAACAGGAGTTCTCAAAGGTGTTCCAGGCACAGTTGCCACCATACACCTTGTCCTTATCCTTAACAGCAGTGGAGGGTTTAAAATTCTCAATTTAATTGGAGATAACTCTCAGAATGTTCCAGATTCTTGGAGCATTTTGAATTTCAGATTTTCAGGTTAGAGCTGTTCAACCTGGTAAAATCTATGAACATATTTGAAAACTGAGAGTCCAAAATTGGAAACACCTTTGGTTCCAAGCATTTTGGAGATAGTAACAGAGAAATACTAAAGAAAATATAGTGTTATTCCTACCACCTAATCATGCTAGCATCTTGGCTATTTACTTCCAGCTTCCCACAGCCCCAGTTCCTCTATTAAAATCACATAGGTATACGCATTCTCATTTAAAATTTTATATAAGAATGCTATAGAAAAAAAGTCCTCAATGCACTCCCACCTTTTAAAAAATGTTTTATTTATTATGTTTATTTTATGAGTGTATTACTTGCATGTAGGTAGGTGCACCCGTGTCATGCAGTGCTTGTGAAGGTCAGAAGAGGTTGTCGGATCCTCTGGAACTGGAGTTTCAGATTGTTGTTAGCCCCCATGTGGGTGCTGGGACTAGAACCCAGGTCCTCTGCAAGAGCAGTCAGTGCTCTTAACCACTGAGCCATCTCTTCAGCCCCATACACTCCCATCTTGATTTGCTTGATGTCCTAAACCACACTGAGTGATTTGATAGGCTGTTTTCCAAGTTTGATATTGCCTTATCACATATCACATGCATCTATATTACTGCATTACTCTCTCTAACCACTTCCATTGATGACAGGGTATCATTATGTAGCCCAGACTGGACTCAATCTTGAGCTCCTCCTGCCCCAGCCTGTCCAGTGCTGGGATTACAGATGTTGGTCATTCATGTCTGACTGTCCACTGGCATTTCATATCTCAGATCTATCCACAAGTTTTGGCCTGATTCATTTAAAAAATATTTTCATTAATTCTTTTGACAGTTTTACACATTTATGTATTTTGATTATATCCACCAAACCGCTACCTCCCTCAAACTCCCCCTCGTGTCCCATACCTCATCTTCCTCCAAATTTCATGTCCTCTTTGCTACTTTTGTAATTAATAACCCCAAGTCTAATTAGTGCTACCCCTATGCACATGGGAGTGGGACCATCCACTGCAGTGTGGGCAACATACCAGCAGCCATGTCCCCAAAGAGAGTGACTCTCCCTTCCTCAGTAGCCATCAACTACCAACAGCTCTTCTGCCAAAGGTGGGTTCTGGGGGTGGTGGGGTCCCTCTTCTACCAATGTTAGGGTTTTGACTGGCTTGATCTTGTACAGGTAACCACGGCTCCTGTGAGGTGATGTGGGCAACAGCCATGTCATGTCCAGTCAGCATTTCACAACCCTCCTCCCCATCTGTCAGTTCTTACATTTTTTTCCATTCTTTCTGCTCCCTCTCTTGAAGTATTCTCTGAGCCTTGGATGGGGAAAGGTTGATAAAGATGATTCATCCACAGCCAAGTACTCACAGTTTTGGTACTTTGGTATTTAATACTTTGGCTAGTTATGTGTCCCTGCATTAACAACTACCCCCTGCAAAAAACGGGAACTTCTTTGACTAAAGTTGAGAGCAACACAAGTCTATGCGTATAAACTAAACATTTAGAAGTTAGTTTGACAGCATGACCATTTAGCAAAGTAACAGTAGGTTCTTCCTAGGGCCTATGATCTTCTTAGTCACCAGCTTTTGACAAGGTTTATAGTACTGGGCATGAAATGCCTCCTGTGGAGCAGTCCTCATCTCCAATCAGAAAGTGGCTGGTTATTCCTATATCAGTCATGCCACTATTGCACCAGCAGTGGGCACATCTCACCAGACGGGTCAGTATTTGCAGCATGCAGGGGCCAAGCTGGTTCATTATTAAGCTGTACAGTGGTCAGTCATGCTTCTGTTCCAGTAGTTTATTCATTCCCCTTTGGATACCATTTCAGTTATCACTCTCACTTCAGAAAACTGCAACAACAGTTGCCCAGTCACATCTCTAAGTGCACATGTGAAAACATTTCTCTAGAATTGGAAAACATATTCCCTGAAGAGGGAATTGTTGGGCCACAAGTTATACACATTTTCAGCTTTGACAAGTCCGGCTAACCTGTCTTCCACAGGGCTTGTTCCAGTGCCAGTCTCTAAAGGTATGGCCAGTCTCTACACTCTTGCAAAGGGCAAACACTTTTGTTCTTCTAAAATTTGTCCAGTTTGCATAGGTTAGAAATATGGACACCCAAATATGGAAAGCATGTGTGTCAAAAATTTTCTACTCATGGGGAAATTAAGATGAAAAATCTGATTCAAACACCATTTGGGAGCTGGATATGATGACACACGCCTGTAATCCCAGCACCCAGAAAAGTAAGGCAGGAGGACCAGTAGTTTGAGCCATCCTGGGCTCAAATTCTCTCTTTCTCTCTCTCTCTCTCTCTCTCTCTCTCTCTCTCTCTCACACACACACACCACAAAAAACAAAACAAACAAAAAACTTATATATTGTGAGACAGAGTATCACTAAGCAGCCCAGGCTGGTCTGTAATGCCCTATACACCCCTAAGCTGGCTTCCAACTTTGTAACTTCTGGCTCCAGCCTCCAGAGTGATAGGATTTCAGGTGCAAACCACCACTCCCAGGTATACATAACCATTTTAAAAATATTAAAATACAGTTTCTAGGCTGTGTACAAAAATGGTTAATGTTCTATGGGGCAATAAAAACAGCGTGTTCCCACCAGTGACTATTTTTACTTTACTTAGCCATCTAGTTTTCTCAGCTCCAGATCTCTTTAAACAAGTATCACTAATATAAAAACACTTTCTTCAGCGAGCAGGAATGTCTGGCTCAAACTGAAAGCCAGGCTCACCAACTTAGGCCTCCTGGGCAACAAGAAAATGAAGACCTGCTTATTCCCAGCTAAGCTTATACTTAGCAAAGGTGCCCAAAACATGGGCTTCCTTGAAGAGTCATACTTCCGGGGGTCCTGGGGATGCAGCACCAGAGGGGCCGTGTTGGGGGCGGGGGGAGTACAGGAATGCCACAGCAGGGCTCTGTGGTTAGGAAAAGGGCACAGGTTATTGCGATGACAGAGGTGGTCTACATAAACCAGGGGCAGGGAAGGGGAAGGGGTCGAGACTACTCCCGGGTCCAAATTGGGTCCCTGGAAAGGATACCTGTCTTCAGTCTCCAATGTCTCTGCTCCATATTTGGGATTTGGCGACTTTGTGGAATTGTGTAAAGGCTTATCCTCCCCCCATCCCCCCACCCCCTCCACCCCCTCTGTGGGCAGGCGAGGTAACGTCTGACACCAACTCATAAGTCTTTAACGCTAGACATCTTTCAGTTGGGAGCAGTCTAAGTTATGCGCGACTGTGGCTGTGCCTGCGTTCTCAATGGGCAGCTTTCCCAGCTGGACTTCCGAAACTCCTCCGCTTCCTCTAAGGCATCTAGCTCACACCAGTCTCTCCTTCCCGGGAGACCGTAGTCCCACTACCACTGGGTCCCACCTGCCCTTTTGGAGGGCAACCCCGAGGTTGGCCGGCCGAGCTCCAGGGGTCCCTCCTTCCAGCGCCGCTCAGTCTTGTCCTCTGGTCTGTGTTCGGACGCGTCCTGGGCCTCAGCTGGGCTGAGGCACGACCGGAATGCGCGGGAGGGCCCGGGGCGGGGACACCGGTAACCGCCGGGACCCGGGGCAGGTCAGCCTGGGGCCCAGGCCAGTCCCGGTATTGCGGGGCGGCGAGGGGATGAGCGCCAGGCCCGCGGTCTGGACTCGCGACTCAGGTGCGCGGATCCGGGTCCGGGCGCTGGGGAATCCAGAACATCCAGAGTCCGCAAGAAAAAAAAAGTCTCGGCGCGCCGCCCCGCCTGCGCGCAGGGCCCGCCCGGCTTCCTGTCCCGCCGACTCAGGGAGGAGGTGCCCTGCGGGGTCCGCCCCGCACCGTCAGCCCCCGGCACCTCCCGAGGCTAGTCAGCGGGAGGGGGGCGGGGGAGGCGCCGCCGCCGGCCTCGACGTCTACTACCGCGCCGCCCGGGATGGGAAGTGCCTTATAAAGACGCCGCCCGCGCCACCAGACCGACTCTCGCGGCGCCGCCCCTAGCGCGGGCCGCAAGCAGCCTACCCGAGTGCGCGCAGAGGCCGGGCAGAACCGTACGGGACCGACCCGGAGGGACCCGGATCCTTGGAGACTTCTGATGGCTCTGCGGGGACCAACTTCACCCAGGAGGACCCAGCTCCACCGAGACCTCTGATCTGCCCTGCCGGGACCAACTTCACCCAGGAGAACCCAGCAACTTCACCCAGGAGCACCCAGCTCCACTGAGATCCCCGATCACCCTGCGGAAACCAACTTCACCCCAGCAGACTCAGCTCCACAGAGACCCCCAGATCGCCCCTGTCCGGACCTACTCCGCCCAGGCGGACCCCGGGCGGGGGGCCGAGGGCGCCCCCGTCGGCAGGGGCATGCGCGTCCCGCGGCATGGCCTCGGCTGTGTTTGAGGGCACGTCGCTGGTGAACATGTTCGTGCGCGGCTGCTGGGTGAACGGCATCCGCAGGCTCATAGTCAGCCGGCGCGGAGACGAGGAGGAGTTTTTCGAGATCCGCACCGAGTGGTCAGACCGCAGCGTGCTCTACCTGCACCGGAGCCTCGCCGATCTGGGCCGCCTGTGGAAGCGCCTTCGCGACGCCTTCCCGGAGGACAGGCCGGAGCTGGCGCGCGCGCCGCTGCGGCAAGGTGCGGGGCTGCAGGGGGCTGCTGGGCGCCGGGGCTGTGGGATGCGGGGTGATGCGGGGGCCGCAGGGCGGTGGAGAGGTGCTAGAGGAGGGACCCGGTCGAGAGGGCTTGTCAAAGTGCTGTGAAGTCTGCGGGAAGAGTTACTTAAATTGAGACTGCGTCTTCTCTCCCTCTGGGCCCCGGACAGAGGCGGTCTAGACCTCGCGACTCTTAAGGAAGGACCGGGAGCGGGTGGTGGAGCTGGGGCACCCACTCCTAGTGGGGAAATGAGGTGAGTGGGAAAGGGACCGAAGTCAGCAGGACCTGTTCCCTGGCTGTCCCCAAGTACAAGGCGCCCATGAGGAAGGGGCAACTTCGCGAGGCGACATCCAGGGCTGGTCACTGCTGGGCCCCAGACCCCTGCCCCGGAGCAGCAGCTGCGCCCCTTCCCTCTGGGGAACCAGTAGCGGCACCAGGAGTTTGCGGGGAGTGTGAAGACAGTTTTAGACTGTCAGAATTGGGGGATCACGTCAGGTCTGACGGCCGCGCCTGGATCTGGGAGAGGCAACATCCCTTTTCTGCCCTGGGGACAGCTGAGCCCCAGTGTGAGGTGCCACGCGGCTATCCTTCCACCGCTCCTCGGAAGGGGAGGCCCTGTCTGCGGCTGCCGAGCCGACCCAAAGTCCACCCGGAGATGGGTCCGCGTTCTGGTTGGATTCGCTACAGACACCTCCTCCCTGGCCTTGTGACCGACCGGTCTGGGTTGGCCTTGACTCTTGTTTTCCCTTACAGCGGTGGCTTCCCTTTTCCTACCGCCTGCTATGGGGCTGGAAGGGCGGAGGATACCCGGGGAGAGGCCGAAATTGATACTGGGAAGAACCGGGTGGGAGCGGTTAACTGGGGACCAACGGGCAGGGGAAGGATAGAGCTTCTGAGTAGCTCTTCCCCCGCAAGTTGTTGCCGCCTGGGGGCTCTGAGACCCTTGGCCACAAGCCCTCCCTTTTTGCGGTGTCCTGCGAACTGAGTGCGGGGCGGGGGCAACGGGGAGATAACAGTTACCCAAGGTCGCCCAGTATAGATCTCTTTGGCAGCCTGTCTGACTGAGGTCTTGAGATAACTTCCACTTCCCCCTGGGGATAGGCCCCACCCCGTGTGTGGATTATGTGGATAATTAGCTCTGTTCTCATGACACATCCCTGGCAGACACATGGCTTGGACAGACTCCCAAAGCCTTCGAGTGTGGAGGCTCTGACGGACAAGCCTGTCTGTGCTCTCCACTCTCCAGCCCCTTCCAGTAGCCGGATGCTGTTTCGAACATGGGACCTGTTTGCTGTTTTGTTTTGGATTTGCTAAATGTTACCCTATTTTTAATTTAACAAGTAAATATCTGAGTCAGGAAAACAATGAAAGGACAAACAGTAGTTTAGTCAATGGCCTTTTCTGGAACAAGGCAAGCCTTAAACAAATTGGACTTTCTGGGTCTTCCTCTGACCAGGTCTCAGAACTCAGGTATGACTGCCCCCTCCCCCCGCCCCCAGCCGACTGGAATTGGCTCCTTACCTATGACATAGTACCTGTTGCCTGTGTTTTTTATGAGAATTAAAATGCATGGTAGATTATTGTCTGAGGCCAGGAAGCATCTAGATGCCACTTGTTAGGGTTACTGTTAGCATCTGCTGCTTCTGGCCAAGATTGCTGGTGCAGAGGCTGTGGAAAGGTGTGGTTTCAGTGTGGAGGCAGGGGTGAAAGGCCTTCCCTGGAGCAGAAAGGAGAGAATGGGGGGAAATTGCCTTGCCCTGTTACTTGGCCTCTTTTGCACTTGTGCAAACTGATGGAGTTAGTTCCGGCTATGTGCTGCACAGACACTGCCTCCAAAGAATGAAGAAACATTTAGATGTGGTTAGAAGTCAGTAGTTATCATGGAGAAAAAGTAGGGCTATGATAGCTGCCTTCAGGTACCTAAAGGGTAAGAAAAAGCTGAAGTGAAGGTTAGATGTGATAGAGCTCCTAGGGGGAAGACCGGTGGCTGGAGGGAAAGGACTTTCAGACAGCCTGAAATGGGACTATTAGGACCTGTTCTGTCAGTAGTGATGAGTCCTGTCTCATGGAAACCTCTTGCAAGAGTCCAGCTAGCACCCCCTAGTGGGGATGAGGATGGTTCCTGGCAGCAGAGGAGAGGGGGTCACCTTAAGCCCTGGGCTCTTTGGGATTTCCTTTCTCTAAGTGTAGGCCAGCTGATTCTTCCACAGCACTATTGGAGTTTGGTTTTGCAAGGCCAGGGAGGCCCCTTTTCTTCTTTGATCCCTTTAAATCTAGGGAAGTCATTTGCCAAGCAAAATATCTCATAGTAACACACACAAAAATTTTTACTTTATTTCCATGCAAATTTGTTATTTGCATAAAAAGATTGTCTGCATTTGCAAACCACATAAACAGAAAAGGTAACCAGCTGTGTGTGGTATTGGCAAGGCTGGCTTTTTCTCAGGATCATTCCAGTTCCTCAGATTCCCAAGTCTCTATTGAAATTTCTGGGCTGGCTTAGATTTGCACTCTTTGGTTGCATTAAAAAGCTTCCTGAGGAAATCTGGTTCCTGAACTACTCTAGTCATACCAAGAGGGTGGGAAGCTGCAGACCACTTTGCATTTTTGAATCTGCATGCAATTGAAGAGGCACTGAACCCTCTGTCTCGGTTCTTGGTTCCTCAAGGCTTGCCAAGGGGGTAGAATTTTCTATGGACAGAATTGTACTTTTTCTCCCTCTGCGGTGTTACGCTTGGTGGGTGTCCTGGTGACACACAGGCAGGGCTATTGGCACCCCTGCTTGGAATAGAGACACAGTGCTCACTAGCTTTCCTCCCTGGCTTTCTGTTTGGATGAGGCAGGGTGATGCTGACCTTGGGGCTTGTCTTGCCTCTGTCCTGTATCCCCTTTCATGGAAGCTGGTCTCTCACCAGACCCTAACTGGAAGCAGGTTGGTAACTTTTAACTTGATACACATACCTCTTGGCTGTGTTGTCCCCCAGCTCTGGGAAGAGAAGTATCTGCTTCCTGTAGACATTAAGTCTGGGTTTCCCTCTTACTTTTCAGCTCTCCCTCACCCTGGGTCAAGTCTTAAGTTTAAATCTCCTACTTGCTGATTCAGACCACAAGCAAAGTCTCTTGCTTTGTCTACATCTCTCACATCTGAGAAGGTTTGTGCTTTAAAAAAGAAACATACAAAAATTTCCCATTGACTGACTGAGGCTCTTGGACTGTTTTGATCCTCTTGTCACAGCACCCCTTCAGGTCTGTGACATCTGAACCCCCCTGGTTACTTCTGCTGCTACAGATCCTATTTCAAAGTGGCCAGGTGAGCTTGGATTTTTAGTGGCTACAACAAACATCTTGCCTTTGCACTCATTCATTCAGTTCCGTGTTTCCTTTGCACTCATTCATTCAGTTCCGTGTTTCCTTTGCACTCATTCATTCAGTTCTGTGTTTCCTTTGCACTCATTCATTCAGTTCCGTGTTTATCGAGTGCCTACTACTGAGTGTCAGGCATTGTGCAGGTGCTGGGGACTCTGAGCTGAGCAGCAAGCCAACAACAAAAGCCCTGCATCCTGTCTTCATGGTCCTTATATTCTGATTAGGAGAAATACAGTAATAAACAAAATTAACAAGTGATTAAAATATGTTAGATCCTGATAAATGTTCAGCAGAAAATATAAGTAAGCCAAAAAGGGTTATGACTTTAGGGACAGGCAAGCTTTTAGATAAGGTTGTCAGGGATGGTCTTACTGATGAATGAGTACAAATTTGAAGGAGAGAACAAACTAGTAGGTACCTGGAACATCCAGGAAGAGAGAGAAAAAGAGAGAGAGAGAGAGAGAGAGAGAGAGAGAGAGAGAGCAGGTGCAAAGTCCTTGATTGTGGTAAGTGCTTTGGGGGTGGAAATGAGCCATGATGTGGCCACTTTGACTGCAGTGGAGAGTGTAGGTTAGGGAGATGCAGAGTGGGACAGATTACAGGCATGGTCTCCATCATCACTGAGGGCTCTGAATAGGGAATTGATTTGATCTGAGATAAACTCCAGCTGTTGTACTGTGAAAGATGGATCAGAACAAGAGGGAGTAGGAGGCAGGTATAAGGTACTGCTTGGGCCAGGGGTAATGGAGCAGGTGTGAGAAGGGGCTGGACACTGATTGGCCTTGAAGAGAGAGCCACGAAGAGACTAGAGGTTGGTGTAGGCAGCTCAGCATGAGCTTAGAGTTTTCCCAACACAGGGTTTGTTGTCCAGTGCTACAATGCAGCCACCTTAGGGGAGGCCAGAGTGGGAGTGGCTGGCAGGGGCGGCCAGCCTGGAGCGTAGCATTCAGCATTTTCTATAGGTACAACAGGAATGTGAGCCTTTGCACGATGTCTCTGCTGTGCTCAGCTTCATTGTTAATGATGATCATCCATCTGCCTCATGCATGTACACAGTCTCTTCTTAGACTTGAAATCCACAGGATGGTGAATTAAGGCACCTGGGAGAGTGCCAGAAAGGACTGGACACTGATACGACACCTGACTCCCACATCCCCGACATCTGCTCTATTTCCTGGGTCTGGCTCCATCTTCTGTTCACATTTCCCTCACCTGGACATCAGGGATAAGCTTGGTTTAACCCCAAACAAAGAGAACAGTGCCTGATGGGTAGACCAACTGCTGCTCAGGGGCACTGAGTTGACTTCTTTAATGAATGTGGCTAAAGACAGCAGAGGTTACTGAGTACTGGGCAGCAAAGCAGGGCATAGAGGTGCCATCTCTGCCCAGCCTTGGCAGGCCTTTGAGGTTGTGGTGGTGGATGGTGCTGCCCTTGACCTTTGCTGTAGCCCCACCTCCATGCAAAGCTTCCGTGTGATTGTACTGACCCCCTATCTGGGTATTTGAGCATCTTCTCTGACTCACAGATCTATTTTTGACTCCTTTCCATACACGGGACCCCTGACCCGTCTTGGGCTGGGCTGCCTGCTCCTCCAATCTCTCCTCCTTGATTTCTA